AATCTGTTATGAGGTAAAGTTCTTTTTCACATATTAAGTGTAGTTTAAACAATTAAGGATCTTATAATTGACCATTCATTATTTTCATCATCTGTCAAATTTGTATTTCGATAGATATTCCATGCTAATTTCAAACTATTTTTAAAACCAATACATGTAGGTAAAAAGTTTTTTCTCTTGGACAAATAAATATATCTTTTCAATTCTAGAAACAATGTGTCATATTTAAAATCTTTAGTTTCTGTACTTAATATGAATGATTTACAACATAAAACATCATCAAAATTATGTAAGTTTCTTCTAAGGTATTGAAATAGGCTTTGAATTTTCTGGCATTTCCAAAATAAATGTAAAAGTGTTTCTTCACAACATTTACAAAAAGTACATATTTAATTGTCAACAATTTTCATTTTAAGCAAAAGTGAGTTTGGAGCTAAAGTTCTATTAATAATTCTTGTTTGGAACAACTGCACATATGAATCTTTAGAACATTTGAAAACATAACTATATATTAACTGCCAATTATTGTTATTGTCTTTAAAACATGTGTTCCACCTTTCTTGACTTGTAAGTATGTATGAATTTTTAGCCATAATTTCATAAACATATTTCTTATTGTTTTTCATACTTAAAATATGTTTAACATAACAATTTATTTAAGGATATTGAACATTAAGCAAAATGTTACTAATAAAAATATTAAACTTTTGCATGTACAATTTTGTTGCCTGTTTTAAACCATGATACTGTAAAAAGTTCACAGGTTTGCCTGTGACATGTTCTAAATATATCAAATCTACAAAGTTACCCTGTTCATTTATAATATCTTTTACAAATCTGATTCCTTTATTATATAATGTCTGAATGTAAATATATCTATTTCCTGCTAAAAAGTTGTGATTGTAAAAAAGTTGCATATGTAATACTTGCTCTATATTATCTATACAAAGTTTATCTACAAACACAATATAAGCTTTTAAAACATCATTCCAGAAAGAATTTGTTATTTTACTAATAATCAAATTACAAAACATCTTTCCAGTGTTAAAATTTTTATTAATATTAAACAATGTGTTTACTAGCTTATAACATTTACTTTTGGTCTTAATTGACCTAGTACTTTATGTAATAGAGCCTTTCCAAATAACCTTAGTTTTGTCAAAATTTATATTTAATCCAGAAATTTCTGTAAACTTACTTAATAACTTTAAAGCATTATTAAGAGATTTTTCTTAACCATCTAATAGAAGTGATGTATCATCTGCAAATTGATTAATTTTATATTCTTTCCCATCTATAATTAAGCCTTTAACATCCTTACATTGTCTTATTTTTACTGCTAATATCTCTGCACATAAAATTAAAATATACGGTGATATTGGATCGCCTTGCCTACAACCTCATCTAACTTTTAAATAAATGGATAAAAAACCATTTTATATGACACAAGTTTCAGTATTGTATAAAAACAGAGATATCCATTTCCTAAACATAGGAGAGAGACATTTCTCAATAAATGTAAAAGGCAGAGTAGCTTTTTTAAAATCTATCATCATTACTAAACCTGGCATATTATTATCTTCAGTAAATTTCATTATATAGTATTCTCACCAATATATCTATTCTTAACAAATCCAGTTTGATCTTTTGACACTAAAATATCTAAAAAAGTTTTCAATCTATTTGCTATACTACCTGAAGCTAATTTATATACTACATTTAATAAGGTAATTGGTCTCCAATATTTTAAAAATTGTTTTAGCATGTTTTCTTTCGGAATACATGTTATGGTTCCTTATTTCTGATTTCTAGAAACTGAATGAACATTATATGCATAATTAATAGCTTTTCACAACAAAATGTCCCATTCTATTCCAAAAGGTTTTAAAAAAGTTAACTGTAAATCCATCACATCCAGGACTTATCATTTTCATATTTGTAATGTAAAAGAGACTTCATCGTACGAAAGGAGACCTTCTAGTTTTGCTGCTTGATGCTGAGACAACATAGTAATATCACAATTCTCTAATTCTTTATCAATATCAGAGTCATCAGTCAAAACAACATTTTTATATAAGAACAAGTTCCTGTAAGTATATCTTTTTGATCATATATAAAAGTTTCATCATCAAGTTCTAGGAAAGGAATTGTTTTAGCTAAACAATGTGATGTTTCTAAATTTAAAAAATAGTTAGTAGGTTTTTCTCCTAATTCAATCCACTGTGACCTGATCATAGCACCTTTAATTTTACCGCATCTAAGTTCATTCAATTCATTTTGTGATACTTGTAAAATTATAAAATTTCCAGAGTGATCAGTTTTAACTGAATTAATTTTAATACCTTAATTTTTCCTATATAAAATGGCTACACCCTTAGCATTAGATCTTCCATGACTTAAAAGACATAATCCATCCCCATCGGAGTTAAATTTTTTTCAATTTCTTTAATAAAATGTGTTTCTTGTAGACAGAGTATATCAGGTTTTTTGGTATGGAATAAGTTAAAAATATCACGCCTCTTAATGTTACCATTTAAACCTCGACAATTATAAGAGAAAATTTTAAGATTACTCATTGACAATTGTTATTTTAATACATTCATCATTATATATCTATTGTACAAAATAACTACACTTGGCTGAAATTAATACATAATCCCAGTGAAACAACTCTAAATAATCTGGCCTCAATAATGTAAAATTATATTTAAGCATGAATAAACTAAGAAAAATTAAAGTAAGAAAAAAGGAACTTGCAACAACATCCATTATGCAAGAAATTACATATGGAAAAAAGAACAGAAGACAAGTTCTCATACAAAAAAGGGAAAAATAAAGAAAAAATCTTTACATACAAGAAAATGAAATAAGCTTTAAGAAAGTCAATGATAATTCATGTGTTAATGTTAGTATAAATAAGTCGGGATTTTTTAGTTGTTTATTCATGACACCTTTAAATTTTTGAACCAAAATTGATATGAACCTGACTTTAATTACTAATTAAAAGAAAATTTTAAGATGTCTTTAAAACTATGAATTTAAATCTAAAGAGAAAAAAGATAAAGAAATGTTATATAGTTAATGATGTTGTAACTAGAATTGCGAAGAATTGTCTTTTATAGTATGATTTTACGTGCAACATCAAGACATCTTTTAAATAAATATCATCAAATTCTAATTTTATAGATGTTCCATAATATTAGTGTCATAAGCAAATGACTGGTTATAATATACTTGTATACTTTTATCCTGAACCAAGCAATTTTTGTATACTCAAAAAAATCACAATTTTTTATTTGAGATTGTGTGAAAAAAAATGGTTACTGTGTACAGTACATAAACAATAATGTATTATATGATTTTATATCACATACATAAATGATTTTATAGTACATATATAAATGATTATGCAACATAACCATAAAAGATTATACAGTTCAAAATATACCTATACAACTGATTGTATAGCACACATATACATGATTATATAGTACATGTACATATGATAGTATACAATGGTATAGTGTACCTTTTATATATACACATGACAGTATAGCACATATCATTCAGTCCAGCGCCGCAACGGGCCAACTCTCATTAGATTTAAAGGGAATTAACCCACCAATGCACCAAGCCAACGACCCACACACAACCATACGCCACAAATTAACACCATCTTTTACATGTAGTACATATATCTTCAAATATACACATGCAATCCAATATTTTACTAATATACATTCATGGATACGCCAAATAAAACATTATATAGCTTAACAGCGTTCTATATGAGATCTGTAGTTGTAAAAACAGCATGAGATTCATGCAATTAAACACAATAAAAGTTTATGTCTGAAATCATGATAACTCACAGTGTATAAATTTAATTTGAATTTTCAAATATAATGCGTTTATAGTTATATTCGAAGAACTGTAGTGAGGTGCTTGATTTTATACTAAACGTAATATTTTCCATATTTTTATAATGGTGTAAGATAATGTATCGTTCTATAACATAGATTGTACGCGGTCTGTAATTTAATAGATGATACATCGCAGTTTTCGAAACGAGTTCCGCGTACTTATATCTTATTTTAAACGTTTAGAACTGGATAGAAACGTGTTTCAAACTTGTACAGAAATTTTGATTTTGATTTATTTTATTTAGACGGAATTACAACGTACTAAGAAAAAGTTTCGTCTGTTTGTTCAAGGGATGAACGAGCTCCAAACTCTAACTGTCAATCGTCGCCTGATTCTCATCACGTTATTTGTTTTGTTGTTTTATTTTCTATTTACTAATCGATAAATTGTAAATATAATTCTAAGTAGTAAATATGACATGTTGAATTTTGTATGGTCCAAATATGAACATAATCCGTCCACAAATAACCTACTTATACTGACAAATGTAAGTGTAGGGTTATAAGTGCCTCTAAGTGTTGTATAGAGTATGTGAGATGTGAGTATATCATGCCTGAAATCATGATAACGCACAGAGTATATAAATGTAGTTTGAATTTTCAAGTAGAATGCGTTTATACTTATATTTGAAGAACTGTAGTGGAGTGCTTGCTTTTATACTTAACGTAATATTATTCCATAAGAAAAATCATAATGGTGGAAGAAATTGTATCGTTCTATTAGATAGGTTGTACACGGTATGTACTTTAATGAGATGATACATTGTAGTGCTCGAAACGAGTTGTGCGTACTTATTTTAAGCGTTTCGAACAGGATAGAAACGTGTTTCTGTAACGTGTACCGAGTGAATTTACAACAAATATCTTATAAATTTTTCTTCGGGCTACCTGCCGTTTGATTAGATACAAATGATTATGAAATTATCATATATCATAAACAATCAGCTTGAATTAACATTCCGAAATACACTATTAAATTGTCAAAAGTCTAAAAATAGTAAATAAAAATTATGTTAACAATATAACACTATGAATAATTCAAAAGCTATAGATATCAAGCTGCAACCTGGTAATTACCTATAGTCCAGCAACAACCTAGCGAGTCTTCTATTAGACAGGAAGATAAGCTGCTGGTAGGGATTTATAACAAAGTTCCAGCTAGAATATATAAAATATTTATATTGTTTTATTTATGTTTGGATTTTAATACTTATACGTTACCAATTCCCTGATAGCAAGGCTTTCAGAAAATGTGGAGGTCTATAAGTAACCAGAGTCAAATGCAATTTCACAAACTTTAATATAACGATACTATATTCATGAAGCGAGGCTTCAGTTGGAAATATTTACTTTGGCAAATTATTCTTTTATACCTATGAAGCTAGGCTTCAGTTAGATAAACACTAGAATAACCTGGTCCAGGTGAATTCCTCTGCATACTGTCTGATTTTTCGCTCTAATCGCCGTATTTATACCTGCTGAGATGATCGCATAAGCATGACTTTATTTTCATTGGCTGATTAGAATGATCATAATCACTGAGACGATTATTACATTATATGATATCAAACGTTTATTGAAAATACGTATATCAAACGTATATTTTAAAGTACCGTAAACTAAAATATATTGTCGCAATATAAACAATTAACATAATAGTAAAGTTACACTAAATCATTTCAGTAAACGATAATATTTATTCAAAACTAGCTTACTATAAAAAATGACGGAATTACAACGCACAAAGAACCTACTACGGCCGAGAAACGTTTGTCTATGAAAGGGGTGAACGAGCTGGTGTAAACTCTTACTGCCAATAGTCGCCTGATCTTATCACGTTAGTGCGCGTCTCCACACGGTAACTGCGTCGTAATACGTTCATCACGTTTTAAGAACGTTGCAACTCCGTCAAATTGGAGAACGGGGTGGCCAACCAAACATTTATAGTAGGCTAAAAGTTCTGGAGCACATTCCAGATCAAACATGTTTGTGTCCGTCCATGAAATTCTTAAATATACCGTGAAGATTTTCATTTTCGCACAGTTTAAGGCCGTTAATCCACATATTTTATAACGTACTTGGAACCTGCTTGGTGTGACAGGAGTATTAAAATCTGATTCATGTTTGTCGGTTCTTAGTTTTGTATACAAGTATATAGCGCTATGTTATAATTCTCTATAAATGCATCTGCAAAATATCAACACCAATTTTAATTTCTTTGCTGCAGTTGATGGAAATATTTTATGTTACATGTGTTATTACTCTCTTTGCAGTTTTAACATACTGTAATATTCCCCTAAATTAACTAATGCCGCAGGCACGTGATCGTTTTATATGTTTTAGTCAACAAAACAGTTAAACTTACCGTCAAAGAACATTTAACTGATTTTTTGAACAGGTTTAAAGACAAATGGACAGAAAATGAGCTAATATTCTTACCTGCAAGACATATTACTGTAATCAACGAGTTTCTCAGTGAAAAATCCATTTTTCAGTTCAAAAGCTACTTTCGCGCATTACACAGAGTGTACATTAAATATTGAGTGAGACTAAAAAAAGGTTTGGAGCACCACACTAAATACTGTATTCCAGTATATACCGGACACGGCGCTTGAATGATAAAATGTTAAAATCTTGGCTTTTTACCCAACGGAATGAACTTTAAAAGGTCTATTTCATCTTTTCACACCGATGTATGTTCGATAATGAATTAAAATTTAAAAATCGGCGAAAAAAACGATATTTGTCTATTTTCTGATAATGATTTCTGCAAGCGTCTAGAGGTACTGCTCCAAATCTGTATTGAGTTAAATCCTTAAATATTGTGGCATGTCATTGGCGAACGGCCGAAACGAAATAAGGCCAGATGCAAAAAGAAAAAAGCAACATTTTGTATAGCACACATGTTAGAATGTGCCAAATTTATATAAATAGACACTAAACAAGAAGATTGCCTTTTTTATATAAAATAATTAAATACGTGATAATTTTTTTATTGTTATCCCTCTAAATGTTTAAAAATCAACAATTTATCATTGACGGCTTTTGTTTGCATTAAAATTAATAGTGTTGTACCTAATATGTAGTCTGAGTTTATCATTTTCTTGCCTGTGTTCTGGTGTTCTGGTATATCTGTCACATTTTGTAGTTGGCTTGCTTGTGTTCTGGTATATCTTTCACCTTTTGTAGCTGACTTGCTTGTGTTCTGGTATATCTGTCACCTTTTGTAGTTGGCTTGCTTGTGTTCTGGTATATCTGTCATCTTTTGTAGTTGGCCTGCCTGTGTTCTGGTATATCTGTTACATTTTTAGTTGACTGACTTCTGTGCTGGTATATCTGTCACCTTTTGTAGTTGGCTTGCTTGTGTTCTGGTATATATGTCATCTTTTTAGTTGACTTGCTTGTGTTCTGGTATATCTGTCACCTTTTGTAGCTGGCGTGCTTGTGTTCTGGTATATCTGTCGCCTTTTGTAGTTGACTTGTTTGTGTTCTGGTATATCTGTCACATTTTGTAGTTGATTTGCTTGTGTTCTGGTATATCTGTTACCTTTTGTAGCTGACTTTCTTGTGTTCTTGTATATCTGTTACCTTTTGCTGTTGGTTTACTTGTGTTTTGGTATATCTGTCACTTTTTGTAGTTGACTTGCTTGTGTTCTGGTATATCTGTCACCTTTTGTAGTTGACTTGCTTGTGTTCTGGTATATCTGTTACCTTTTGTAGCTGACTTTCTTGTGTTCTTGTATATCTGTCACCTTTTGCTGTTGGTTTACTTGTGTTTTGGTATATCTGTCACTTTTTGTAGTTGACTTTCTTGTGTTCTGGAATATATGTCACTTTTTGTAGTTGGTTTGCTTGTGTTCTGGTATATATGTCTCCTTTTGTAGTTAACTTGCTTGTGTTCTGATATATATGTCACCTTTTGTAGCTAACTTGCTTGTGTTCTGGTATATCTGTCACCTTTTGTAGCTAACTTGCTTGTGTTCTGGTATATCTGTCGCCTTCTGTAGTTGGCTTGCTTGTGTTTTGGTATATATGTCACCTTTTGTAGTCGGCTTGTTTGTGTTTTGGTATATTTGTCACCTTTTGTAGTGGGCTTGCTTGTGTTCTGGTATATCTGTTACCTTTTGTAGTTGACTTGCTTGAGTTCTGGTGTATCTGGCATCTTTTTTAGTTGGCTTGCTTGTGTTCTGGTATATCTGTCACCTTTTTCTAGCTAACTTGCTTGTGTTCTGGTATATCTCTCGCCTTCTGTAGTTGGCTTGCTTGTGTTTTGGTATATATGTCACCTTTTGTAGTCGGCTTGTTTGTGTTCTGGTATATTTGTCACCTTTTGTAGTGGGCTTGCTTGTGTTCTGGTATATCTGTCACCTTTTGTAGTTGACTTGCTTGAGTTCTGGTGTATCTGGCATCTTTTTTAGTTGCCTTGCTTGTGTTCTGGTATATATGTCACCTTTTGTAGCTAACTTGCTTGTGTTCTGGTATATCTGTCGCCTTTTGTAGTTGGCTTGCTTGTGTTCTGGTATATCTGTCACCTTTTGTAGTTGACTTGCTTGTGTTCTGGTATATCTGTCACCTTTTGTAGCTGACTTGCTTGTGTTCTGGTATATCTGTCACCTTTTGTAGTTGGTTTGCTTGTGTTCTGGTATATCTGTCACCTTTTGTAGTGGGCTTGCTTGTGTTCTGGTATATCTGTCACCTTTTGTAGTTGACTTGCTTGTGTTCCGGTATATCTGTCACCTTTTGTAGTTGACTTGCTTTAGTTCTGGTGTATCTGGCATCTTTTGTAGTCGGCTTGTTTGTGTTCCGGTATATATGTCGCCTTCTGTAGTTGGCTTACTTCTGTTCTGCTATAAATGTCACCTTTTGTAGCTAACTTGCTTGTGTTCTGTTATATCTGTTATCTTTTTAATTGAATTTTTTTCATGTACATCTGTCACCTTTTTAGTGTTAAGTAACCGTTGATTTGCCCTTTTGTTCTTGATTACACTCATCGGAGCCGGTGTAAATTATGTTGTATTCTTAGTGAAAGCTCATTGTTTCTTAACTCGAGCTGTAACTTTATCGGAAGAGATTGGGTAGTTACCGAGAAGGTATAAATCTGACAAGTGTCAATATTTTATAGAAAGTTAAAAAATATTTTGATGACAGATCTGGCTTTTAGCTAGTTTTTCGTCTCTGTTAAAACACAAACAGCAAACCGATTAACTGTTTTCCTAAAAGTTTAAGAGCATTAATCTTTGTTCCAACTTCACGTATTACTAGTTGAAAAGGTTACATATATGGCCATTCAATGTAGCATGTTATGATTATAATCTGCTGGTGGTGGTGGTGGTGATGATGATGATGATGATGAAGATGATGATGATGATGATAATGATGATGATGAGGAGGAGAAGGAGGATAAGGAGAATAGAAAAGATCTTAGATAACATAAAATAATTTATTGAACCTTTATAGTAATCATGAACATTAAAAGAAACAATCATTAACAAAAAAACACTACTATATTGATATGAGCCATGACATTGCATTTCAAACATAGTAAATAAATTTGACATTTTACTTCTTTCAAAGATTCTCAAAATGCAACCTTTTTTTAATCATTCAAAAAAATAATATTATGGACAATGAAAACTTAATTTATAACGTTTTTGAATATTATTAGTGACTTCGTTTTATTTGACGATAGTGACGATGTCATTAAAAATGCTTTGATTAAACTGAATCATCGTTTTGCTTGACATATACTCCTATATTCATGTATCTTAATACGTAAAATTATTAACAACGAAGCTCCAATTTTTATTGTCCAATTATGTGTTGTCAAGGTCACATCATACTGTTGTATGATGTGTTGTTAAGGTCACATCATCGTGTTGTATGATGTGTTGAAAAGGTCCAATTATCGTGTTGTTTGATGTGTTGTAAAGGTCACATCATCGTGTTGTATGTTGTGTTGTAAAGGTCCCATTATCGTGTGTGTTGTATTATGTGTTGTCAAGGTCACATCATTTTGTTGTAAAGGTCACAGCATCGTGTTGTAAAGGTCCCATTATCGTGTTGTATGATGTGTTGCAAAGGTCAGATCATCGTGTTTATGATGTGTTGTAAAGGTCAGATCATCGTGTTGTAAAAGTCAGATCATTTTGTTGTAAGAT